CTGCTTCAAATCCTGCTTGCTCCGGCCACTGCTGAATGACCTTGGAGAAGTCATTTCACCTTTTTCTATCTCAGAACTAGAGAGGACTATTCATAAGACAGGGGGTAATATACAGTGGCTTTGGCACATAGTAGGTTTTCAACAGGTGTCCCTCCTTGCCTGTTGGTGGTAGAATAGATGGTTCTGGGGACCCCTAGTCTTTCCAGGGAAAAGATGGTCATGGCGGTCACCAACAGCATCACCGTTAAGTAGGTGAGACTCTTGGGATGCATACAGTGTAAATGATAACAGCTAACCTACATGACACTTACGGGGTTCAGGAGCTGTTCCAACAGGTTTGTATTACTTTATTTGACCCTTAGCACAGGGCTGTGAGGTGGATACTCTCAGCAGCACCTTTATACAGAAGAGATGGGAGAGGTACCATAGCTCACCAGTGTCGCTCAGTTGCTTAGATGAGAGTCGGGGTGTGATGCCCTGTGTTCTGGCTCAAATCCATCTTGTTGGCCTCGCTCTGTGACTAGATAATTACTGAATCATTTTTAATGTTTATTTATCTTAATTAAAAATTTAAATTTACTTATTAATTTGATATATTTAAGTATTTTATGTGCACGGGTGTTTTGCCTACTTGATTGTATGTGCAGGACATGTATTATAACACCCACAGAGGTCAGAAGAGGGCATAGGATCTGCTGGAACTGGAATTACACATGGTTGTGAGCTGCCATGTGGGTGCTGGGAATTGAACCCAGGTCTTCTGAAAGAGCAATTAAGTGTTTTAAGCACCAAGCCATCTCTCTAGCCCCTTATTTTAATCTTTATGCACACCTATGTGTGTCTGTTCAGCTGTATATGCACCGCACGTGTGCTATACCCATGGTGGCCAGAAGAGGGCATCGGATTCCTCAGAGTTGAAGTTACAGCTGCCAATCTGGGTGCTGAGAGCAGAACTCAGGTCCTCTTCAAGTGGCCAGTGCTCTGAACAGCGGAGCCATCCCTCTAGCCCTTGATCCTTAGCAATTTAAATAATGAGGGAAGATATACACGCATTTCCTTTTAGCTTTTTGTGGTGTTCGGTAGTGGAGCCCAGGACCTTATGCTTGATAGGAAAGTGCTCCACACAGCCCAAGAAGTACAAGGAACAAAAAGTAAAAGATCCTTTGAACCCAATCTCTTCACCGCTGGTGACGCTCTTGCCTTTTACGGCTATTGTTGCAGTTCTTCCCTATGTCAGGCCTTTAAGAATCAGTGTGTTATGTTAGTGCTTTTCCCACGACGGAGACATGCTGCCTGTACTGCTTACATAGCTGCCACTCTCACTTATAACACACCTCCTTTGGCCACCATATTCTTTCTTTATTTACTTTAATTAAAAAAATGATGCATTTATTTTATGCATTTTTGTATTTTGCTTGCATGTATGCATGTGTACCATGTCTGTTGCCCAAAGAGACCTGAAGAGGGTGTTGGGTCCTCTAGAACTTGAGTTATGAATGGATGTGAGCCATTATGGGGGAGCTGGGAACTGAACCCAGGTCCTCTGGAGGAGCAGCCAGTGCTCTTAACCACTGAGACCTTGTTTGAAGAATGAATGAGTGAGTGAATAAATGAATGCATGAATTCTAGACTGAGGCCATGTCTCTGTTGATAGAGTGCTTGCCTATTTATGAGATAGGGTCTCATGTAGCCCAGGCTGGCCTTGAACTTATGATGTAGCAGAGGACGATCACGTGTTTCTAATCTTCCTGCCTCTCCCTTCTGAGGGCTAGATTACAGGTGTATGCTACCACACCTGGTTTATGCAATGCTGAGCATGGAACTCAGGACTTCCTATAGGCTAGGCACACACTGTGCCAATGACGGTACATCTCCGGCTCCTCGCCAACAACACGGACATGTTTATTGTATTTATTCATTCATTGTGTGTATATTCAGTGTGTGCGTGTGTGTGTGTGTGCGTGTGTGTGTGTATGTGTGTGTGTGTGTGTGTGTTGGGGGAGCATTACGCCATGGCATGCCTGTGGAAGTCAGAGAACAACCTGTGGGAGTCAGTTCTGTCTCTCTTTTTTTTTTCTCCTGAGACATGGTCTCACTATATAGCTTTGACTGACCTGGAACTCACTCTGTAGACCAGGCTGACCTCAAACTCATAGAGATCCTCCTGCCTCTGCCTCCCGAGTGCTGGGATTAAAGGTGTGCACCACTATGCCCAGCCCAGTTCTGTCTTTTCCACCAGGAACCAAACTCGTGTCATGGGACTTGGCAGTAGGGACTTTTACCTGCGGAGCCAAGAAAAAAAAATTGTGCTGTGTTCTGCCGTGGGAAGGTGCATGGTTTATCTGGCCATGCTTCCTTGGGTGACAGCTGGTGGCTGAGGCCTTCATTTTCTCCTATGCCATGCCTTTGGTTGAGTTGTCAGCTGAACCAAAGTGTCCACGTGGAAGGGAACTGCCGGGTTACCCTGGATAACAAGCCACAGACATATAAAAGGGACATACAGACAGCAGAAGGAGGCCTAGCATGGCTGGGCATGGCTCCTGGGAAGAGGGAAGTCAGGCACTGGCATCAGTATTGCGCATGCACGTACAGTCTGCACTCCTCGAGCGGCTCTGGCAGCTGAGGAACGTCTCCCTCCTGACCACTGAGCTATCTCTATGGGCCCCATGGTCTCTCTCTTTACAGTTGTAGACAGGGGACTCTCTCAAGTTCATAGAGCTAGTGTGAGGTGAGGCTGTGATTGGCTGCAGACCGCCTATCATAAAGCCCAGCTTTTGCCTCTGCCACCCTTTCAAGGCCAAGGGGAAGAGATCGGGGCCTCTTGCAGGCTGCTCTTCAATGGATTTGCCCCTGATTCTCATATCACCAGTTTTCATTTGAGAACTCTGTTACGATGTGCTTTGCTTTTCATATTCCAGAGCAGGATCCCGAACCCTGCAGAAGGGCAGCTGGGAGCTGGGGTTCAGCACTATAGACAGGCCTCTGCTCTGTAAGCCAAGCTGGCAGGGAGCTAGGCGGAGGAGTGCGCCGGTGTGAGAAAGCATTTGGCTGGCACTGAAGCTCTCTGGCTCCGACAGACCTGGCTTTGCCTTCTCCACCCCCTCTCCATCTGTGGAGGGTTGCCCGGGAATCTGGTTCCCTCCTTGCCTCCTCCTGGTCTTGGCATCTCTCCACAGCCATCCCACCTCTGGCTGTCTCCAGAACCCAGTTGGGCATATTGGAACTTACCTGTTACCCTGATCTGGTAAGACCAAGGCAGGACTATTTTCAGTATGAGGCTAGCCTGGACTATATACCCTGGACTACATGTCTCAAAATAAGTTAAGAAAAGAAGAAGAAGAAGCTGGGGAAATTCCTGGATTCAAAACCTAAGTGTGTGAGGGAGGCAAGAACAGGGCTGGGACTATGGCTCAGTTGGTCGAGGGCTTGCCTAGCAGGTGTGGAGCCCTGGGCTGAGTCCCTAGCTCTGCATAAACCAAGTGTGGAGGCACATGCTTGTAACCCCAACATTCAGGAGGTGAATCATGGAAAATTAGGCGTTCAAGGTCATCTCCAGGGCTCGAACACAGATCGTCAGGCTTGGTGGCAGTCACCTTTACTTAAAAGTGGTGTATTGTTTTCTTTTGTGCACACGGATATAGATTTTTATGAGCATCCTTTTCTGGGGGGAGGTTTCTCCTCTTTTTCAAAGGGCTCTCAGAGGGGCTGGAGAGATGGCTCAGAGGTTAAGAGCATTGCCTGCTCTTCCAAAGGTCCTGAGTTCAATTCCCAGCAACCACATGGTGGCTCACAACCATCTGTAATGAGGTCTAGTGCCCTCTTCTGGCCTGCACCACAGACAGAATATTGTATACATAATAAATAAATAAATATTTTTTAAAAAAAGGGCTCTCAGAGTTCAAGGTGGTCCAGGCTTCGTCAGTGCTTCCTAATGATCTGGGATGGTTGGTTGCCAGGCGGCAGCATCACCTCAGATCTCTCCATGAGCCTATCCCCTTCTCAGTGACTTCTGGGGAGTGGCACCGTCCTCCTTCCCTGGTTCCCTCCAGTGTCCAAGAGGAGAATGGAGTCGGATGTCAGTCTGGGTTGTCAGGGGTCTGTGCGGTGCTAAGGTCAGGGGCCAGCATCCCTATGCATCTACACAAGATTTCATCACAAACATTTGCTTCATGCACATATTCAAAAGAAACATTTCTGTTTTGTGCACCATGCGTGTAAAAACCATAATACCAAAACATGCAGGGACTCCATGGGCTGCACAATGACCTGCTCTTCGGCCATGGGTGTTCTTCCTCAAGTGTAACTGAGTCTTGAAGCGCCAAAGCCTTGGAAGGTGATGGGGCTTCTTGAGTTGTGTGCCTGCCTGTGTTGAATGTCATCGTCCATCCATCCAACTTATTTATTTTTGAGACTGTGTCTCCCATAGTTCAGGCAGGTCTCAAGTCATGCTGTGGCTGAGGGTAGCCTTGAACTTCTGAGTTTGCCTGGATTCCAGGTACATATCTCTACACCTAGTTTTTGAGGTGGAAATGGAACCCAGGGCTTTCCCCATGCTAGGCAAACTCTATCAATTGAGCTACATTCTGGTGTCCCCATGTACCGAGTACCGTTTGGCCTCGCAGGAGGGCTGTTTGGAGCTGACGACCTCTGTATCTGAACCTTTTCAAACCCCTTGTGAAATGCTGAATGGTCAAGGTGTAGTGTGGGACCAGGATCAGGGCTCAGTACAGGCCTTGTTGAAGGCTCAGCTTGAGACCTTGGGCACACAAGGATCTGTGGGCAGTCTGTGCTGTGCTTAGCTTAGCAGCGATGTCAGGCTTGGTCTGCAGTCAGTGTCAAGTTCAGTGTGGAACTGGAGTTAGGCTTAGTGTTTTAGCTGGGGGTCAGTCAAGGATCAGGGCTCAATTTTTTGCTGGTATAATAGGACTCAGTCTAGTATTAGGATCGAGGCTCAGTCTATGACTAAAATCAGTCAACCTATGTGGCCTTCCTCTCTACAGGTGCCCAGGACCCCACGACCAGGGATGGAGTCCACTGACAGCAGGCGTTTGGCCACCAAGCATAGCAGGAAGGCCTTGAAGGCCAGCTTGACCCTGGGCATCCTTCTGGGCATGTTCTTTGTCACCTGGCTGCCCTTCTTTGTGGCCAACATAGCTCAGGTAAAAAATGACATGCCTCGCTGTGCAAAAGCGGGAGGGAGGAGGACGGCACATGTGTGGTACCTGTGTCTGTGTGCCTGTTCCATCCCTGCTGGGTGAGGTAGCCCAGGACCAGGTGTGACAAATCCTATCCCCACAGGCCGTGTGTGACTGCATCTCCCCAGGCCTCTTCGACGTCCTCACCTGGCTCGGGTATTGTAATAGCACCATGAACCCCATCATCTACCCACTCTTCATGCGGGACTTCAAGAGGGCCCTGGGCAGGTTCCTGCCATGCATTCACTGTCCCCCGGAGCACCGGGCCAGCCCTGCCTCCCCCTCCGTGTGGACTTCCCACAGCGGTGCACGACCAGGCCTCAGCCTGCAGCAGGTGCTGCCTCTGCCTCTGCCAACGAATTCAGATTCAGACTCAGCGTCAGGGGGCACCTCGGGCCTGCAGCTCACGGCAGCTCAGCTTCTGCTGCCTGGAGAGGCAACCCGGGAACCCCCACCACCCACCAGGGCCACCGCTGTGGTCAACTTCTTCGTCGCGGACTCTGTGGAGCCCGAGATACAGCAGCATCCACTGAGTTCTCCCACGAACTGACCCGGTCAAGAGCTGGTCAGTGGAGAGCCACATTCTAGAGAACTCAACCCACTCTCCCTCAGCCTGGGAAGTGAGCTCCATGAGGCATCCTTGGCTAACCCCCATCTTCTGCTACAGGCCCCTTGACATAAGGAGTGATCAGAAACAGCTCTGTATGGAGAATCACCTGTGGTTTGTGTAGTGTGGCTGGGGGGCTTGGGGAGATGGGTCATTTGGTTCAGGCCAGCAGGAAAGCAACCTGTTCTTGGTCCTTTCTTTCTTGGTAGGTGGGAAGAACGCTCATGTAGATACCCAGTTCTTGTCTGGCCCAATCCCCTGCTATCCAAAGTGCCATCCTTGGGATACTGGGGCTCTCATAGGCCTTGGGGAGTTTATTCAAAGTGCCCCCCTTTCCACTGAAGATACACTCAGTCAAAATTGTATGTTCATGAGCTTTCCCATGTATGCATTTGCTGGACACTTTGGACCTGCCAGCCCTTAGGATGGGAACTGCCACACTAAAGAGCACCTTAGGCTGGAAGCCGGGCAGCCAGAAACATGACCCTTTCCTCAACTGTCTATGGCAGCTTGGGGGCTTGGCACAGGTCTCAAGGGGAGAGACAATGTAAATGGTGTGCCCGGCACCTGTGAGGGGTCAGGAGGTGGTAAATTCTGTTGCTTTAACCCCTGGTCAGCCAGGGCTTGGCTCTGGTAGAAGGCTAGCAAGGCCCCACCCTCTCCCCCTCCTTCCCTCTCTACTCTCTCCTTCCCTCCCTTTTATTTTTTTCTAGGGTCTCATGTAGCCAGGCTGCTCTCGAGTTCCGTGTGGCCAAGGATGACCTTGAACTTCTGATCCTCTTGCCTCTACCTCCCAAGTGCTGGGATCACAGATGTACCGCGCACATCAGGTTTATGCGGTGCTGGGGATGGACCTCAGGGCTTCATGCAGTCTAGGGAGGCACTCTGTCAACTGAGCTGTGTCCCCAGCGCCCTTTCCTTTCTGTTAGGACAACCTTGCACACACTAGGCAAGTGCTCTCTGCGGAGCCACACCGCGGCCCCACTGTCCTTTTCCAGCCTTGATTTCTATACCCTAACTTGGGCTCCCAGCCTTCTTGTTCTGACCCCACCACTCAGGGACCCTTCCAGTCCCACCTGCTGTTCTGCCTCTTCCACCTCAAGGGCGGGCTTCCTCCATCCCGGGCTTCCCGGAGAGGAAGCAGCTGATGGAGGAGGACTCAGTTCCTCACCCTGCCTCTTTGGGTCCTCCCTAGGGTCATTGAAAGGACAGCTGCTTGGGTGGGCAGAGAACAGTCGAAGAGGAATGTCCCTGGCTTGGGGGTGAAGCTGCAGGCAAGCAGGAGGGGTCCCGCTTGGGCCTGGCTTTTGTGGGTAAGGGCAGAGGACCCTTGGCTCCATGCTTCTTCTCTCTGCTGAGTTCCTCTTCTGTCCCAGGTCTTTATTCAAGCCCTTAGGCTACGTCAACCCCTTCAACCCTGGCTCCCAGGCTCGCCCAGTGTGACCAGGAGCTCTCCTTGGTGCTGATCATACTCAACTGGGCCCTGGCAGCAGGGTTTTGGTGCTTGCCCGGGTTTCTCCTCCTCCAGGCCTGCCTGAGGGACTCAATAAACACGAGGTGAAATGACTGTGTGTGGACCGAGTCGTATTGAATCCCTGGGTGGTTGGAAAGTGGCTGCGTAAAGGTTTCCATCCAAGCGTCCTGGGCTCTGATCTGACTCTGTCCCTAGCTTGCTTTGCGACACCCCGACAAATCATTGTCATTCTTTCTGTGTGGACACAGCAACTTGTACTGAAAGCAGCATGAGTTGGGTAGGTGTCCGTAAAGTGAACAGGTGCTGCACCCCGGAGGGGCATCTGGTTTCTGAACACTGTGACACCCACAGCCTCGGATGGGTCTTATTTCTCCACGTGCGCAATGGGGGCGGGCCACCTCCGTCCCTGCTCTACAGAAGAGGTGGGAGGAACAAGGAGGAGGTTCCCATGGATGCAGATGCAGGACCTTAGAGCTCGGGTCTAAAATCCCACTGGCTAGACTTCACAGTGACTCCATGACTGATCAGCCATGTGGCCTTTAACAGATTTCCTAAATACATAGAGGCTCAGTTTCCCAAGCATAAAATAAAAGGCAGCTGCGAAGGTTAAGAGAAAAGGCTTTAGTACTTATTGGTCCCCCCCTGTGTAATCCTTTTATCCTCAGGCCCGTTTCTTTCTCTCTATGCCGACTGTGAATTCTGCCTTTATTCCACTGGCCACCATTCTAGACAGGGCCACCACGTCTCACAAGCTCAGGGTGGGGCGCCATTCACATGACATTTGTCTCAGTTACTCTGCAGTTGTGCAGTGCACGCACACAGCCTGCACATCTGTATGAGACAGCGCTGACTGGACCTCCCAAGAAGAGCGGAGAGAGAGAGAGAGAGAAGAACTTCATTGGCACCTGAAAACACCCTACTGGTAGGGTCTGGGCCTGGTGGACAGCCCAGGAGAGTTGATAAAAGATCAGGAAGACACTTGGTTCCACTGGAGGTGGAGGAAGAAAGAGCACAGGGACCTCCAGTCTCACAGTGACTCCTGGGCCTCTGGATGGACCTGCAGGGCAGGAGCCTACGCTGGCCTGGAGGTGGGCTGATGTTGCGGGTCACATGGCCAGTGTCCCTTCAGGGAGCAAGCGTTTTTCTCACCAGCTCCCCATTCCAGGCTCTTTCTGTTTCAGAAAGGCACCTGTGGAAATTCCACACCTCCAGAACTCTCTGAGGAGCCCAGAGGTATGAGAGAAAATTGAATACAGAAGTCTAAAGAGATAACTGGACTTCTGGGGTCAGTCCAGTTCTGCACAGGACTCCCGGGTCCCTTGTGTGCAGTCAGGGCAGCCCAGTGGGTTAGGACCCACACCATGGCTGCAGATCAAGGGTCCTTCTACTGGACTGGCAGCAGCAGGGAGCAAGGCCTCTGTGGACTGGTCTGGTTCTGTTGGCATCTGGGATAGCCTGGCACTGGAAGGTCCAGCGGTTTTGAGACTGTCTCCTGGGCCAGGTTCCCGGGTTTGCCCATCTTGGTGGATTGCCTCATCTGTGGAGTCTGTGGCTGTCTGGAGAGGCTCTTCTTGGGCCAGGCTGCCAGGGGCCAGGAGGAATCCTTTCTCACCCCAGCCTGGCTTGGTACGAATGCCCACAGCCTTCAGGATCACATCCATTTGCTTGGCGTAGTCCAAGTGCCCATTGACCTGCAGGGAGACCATGAGTGAGGACCACGGGGGGTGGGTGGGCAGGATAGTGGACAGGCCCACCCTTTCCCTGGGATCCAAGTGACTCAGCCAGTCCCTCAGCATCCCAGGGTCCTAATTTTCAGTGGTTCTCAAGTCCAGAGTGCTCTGGGGGCAGGTGTGTGTGTGTGTGTGGAAACTTCAGACCCGCAGGGACAAACACCAACCAGTTCTCCATGGACAAATTACAGCTGCTTCCCTGAGCATTTGGGATCCTGGGGAAGGAGTGGGGACTGGTGCCAGGGCTGTGTGGGAACAGGCGGCCAGGAAGGGCTGTGTCACTGTCATTGCTGCTGACTTCAGGTGGCCATCACACTTACAGCCCACAGCTCTAGCCTCCTCTGCCATAGGCTGATCCAGGTTTTGGCAGGTCTACAGAGACCCAAGATGGAGTCATTGCTGTTGGTACTCCATGTTTACAGCCAGCAGCAGGGCAAGGTGGGTCATGGGTGGGTGCTACACAGCTGATGTGGACTCAAGTTTTTAGCCTGTGACCATCTCCCCAGCTGTCCTACCAAGCCCTGCCCACTGCCCTGTACAGCCAGATATCACTAATACAAAGCAGCCATCTTCCATGAATGATGTCTCAGGACACACCAGGCCCCTCCTACTCCCACTGTCCATTAGCAAAGGCTCATCGACTACTGGCCAAGAGACTATGAACTTGAGGAGTTACCAGGTCCGTGTGGGTAGGGGTGGACCCCAGCATTTCCCCTTTCCTGCCTTGCAAGAGACCTGGCCTGGCTGCCACCACCCTACCTGTCCGTCCTGAGGACCCCTTCCTTGGCCACTAAGCCCCGGGTTCCTCGCTGTCCCCGCTTCTTCTGTAAAATGAAACTGGCAATAACCCCAGCACCATGTGTGCTGGTGTGAGCAGGAGACCATGTGGATAAGGGCATGCCACCAGGGCTGCAAACTGTTGACGAGGTTGAGGAACGCAGGTGGCACCAGTGTGTGGCCGAGGGCCCAAGCTCTGGGGTAGCTGCCCTGGGTTTCTGGCTTGAATCTACAATGTCCCCCTCGGGCTCATGTCCCTGACTGTTCCTTCTCTAGTGGTGTTGGGAGAACCGTTAGGAGGTAGGGCCCAGCTGGTGGAAGAGGGCACTGGAAGTGGGCTTTGAATGAGCCGCTTAGGCTTGGCCTCCTCCCTCCACCTTTGCTGTCGATCCATCTCTCTGTGAACAGCTTCCGGCTGGACTTCGCCTGCCCTTGCGAACTGAAGCCGAATGCAAATAAATCCCCAATTCAGTTATTTCTGCCAAGGGGCATGCTCACAAACGACTCAGAAAGTCACTAATACGCTCGTGTTTGTCACGAGCTGTAGCCTCAGTTTCCACATCTGAACCATGGATCAGTATGTCCTCCTGGGACCTTTTGCAGGGTCACCTGATTCACAATGGCCATTGTTACCCGACGCTGGTGCTGTTACTGACTGCTGTACTCTGTGGCTGGCCCTGTGTTAACTTCTAAATCAAGCACATCCTTTGGGACACGGAGAGGTTTGTCCTGGACCAGGGCTTCCTGGACAGCTTCAAGCACTGAGCCCTGGGTGATAAAATCCTTCACCAGCTGCAGCCGAGAGAGGCTTCCTAGCCAGGGTCCCTTTCTCCACCCCCCACCAGAGATGGTCCCTGCCTGCCACAGGGAGGAGGGATAGGACAGGTCTCCTGGCTGCTGGCACAGAGGGAGCTGCCAGGCAAATCCTCCCGAGGGAGCCCTGCCATCCCCTCCTCCAGCAGTGAGCTGCCAAGGAAAGCCAGGGACACAAAGGCAATGCTAATTACCTCTAATTAGTCAGAGGAGGAAAGCACCGCTTTGCTGGGGCCCCTAATGTGATAAAGAGCTATTATTAGGCAGGAGCTGAGCCAAAGCCAAGGTGTTTGAGGAGGGAGAGGTCCGCAAACAGCTAGTCTCCAAACTGGAGAAGTGAGGGTAGTGGGGAGGGGGCTGAAGAGGAAGAGGAGGGGGCTAGTATCAGGGAGCACTCACGAGCCCAGGGCCCTGCATCTTAAGGAAACTCCCCATATGATGGCTGGGCTTAGTGCTGGATTATGTTCTTGCTTGGCCAGCACCAGGGATGACTGTTTTGCATCTAGACAATGCTCCGCACCTGAGTCCTCTGCTTGCTTTGGTTATTGCTGGGGTGAGGGGCGGGGGCAGCCCTGACCAGTGATCTGGTTATTGCTGCGGGGGTGGGGGAGAGGAGGGTGGTAATTTGAAGACTCTAGCTAGGGGTTTGGATCGAGCCCTGTGAGTTTCTAGATGGGAGACCGGAATTCTCCTAAACTCGGATTTTCTCATCTGTAAATGGGACACAGCAGTTCCTGCCTGGCAGTAGAAGCTTGAGGATTACAGCCAAGGGGGAAAGGCTGGCATGGAGCCGATAGGATAGCCAATAGATCTATGCAGGTGCTACTGCCAAGTGCTGCAGTGATCCACAAGCCAATGGGGAGCCCTTAGAGGGCCAGGCCAGCACTCACCACTGCGGACAGGTCCACATTCTCCATCCTCCGGTCCTGCAGCAGCACGGGCTGGAGGCCTGCGACCCGGAGCTGCACGGAAGACGTGCGGTACACGAAGCTCAGCAACCAGTCTCCCCTGCAGGCAGAAATGGGCACCGTCAACCTGAGCCCAGGCAGGATGGGCAACTGACTAACTGGGCACAGCGGGACACTGTGTAGCCTGGGTTGGCCTCAAACTCACAATCCTCCCACCTCAGCCTCCAAATGTAGGGATGGCATGTGGACACCAGGTGGTCCACTGACACTCTGAGGGGCTTTGGCCCACACCTGGTGCCCCCTCCTGAGATGAATCCTTTAAACAGGAATCCCACCATTTGCTCTTCTCCTGCAGGCTCCTCCATCATAGGCCTTCCACTGTCTGTCCCTCCGCCTTCAGTGGTCACCCAGAACCTCTGGTTCACCCGCCCCTCCAGTTCTGACCTCTGAGCACTGCATTGCCTTACAGCGTGGGCTGCATGCACACTTTTGCTCAAACCTGCAGCCACTTGCTCCAAGTCCCTCATATGTATGGAATATATATATATATATCATATTATATATATGTAATTTTTTTCCTTAAATGATAATATTTAAAGTTGGGTCCCTGGGGCAAGGGCAAGCGCTCTGCTCGGTGGACTGCCTACTTGCCTAGCATGCACGAGTCCTGCTTTAGATCCCAGCACCACATAAACCAAAATTGGTGGTGCATGTCTGTGCATCACAACACTTGGGAGGTAGAGGCAGAAGGATCTTTGGTTGTAGAGAGTTCAAAGCCAGCCTGGGCTGTAGGAGAGCCTGCCTCCAAAAGACAATGGTCACCGTCTCCTCCTTTCAGGCTGCCCTTAGATTTTGAGCTTA